ATTCATAAAGGGTGTTTTTTTTACTCTTCATATACTAGTAATACAGTAGTCACACAATGAGGCAGTTCATATTTGTCTCAGTGAATCATTCATTTTTGACAGACACCTGTACAAAATATTTGAACTAAAGCCAGCTAAATTTTTCTGTTATCTTGCATGTTTTATGAATCTATTCACATCTAAATGCAGCACTTTTGTTTTGCAATGAGACATTTGTTTTTATTCTAAATATCTCAATTACTTTCAATAAAGCTGGAAATTATGTTCCTTAGAATAATTAAACAAATAAGGCACCAATGTTTTTGTAAGATATTTACATCTTTTAAGGACATTCGGTAGACTGATTCCCCACTGTTGGTTCAACCCCAAAACTTGTTTGTATTCAAAATTAATTATGACAATGCATATTTATATTGAAACAAACTATGATAAAGGGAATTATATTATATAACAAAGGGCAAGGTCACCAGAGTTCAACTATGTTTTGCCCCGAGTGCCGACACATAGTGCATTTGCCACAGAAACCATATTCATGTTTGGGACTACATTACCATCTCTATGAAATGGCCATATAATGCACTATCCTGGCATTAACCAGGTCCAGTCCAACGCAAGCACCTGCAGACCTATAAATCTGTTGTCTGTTAACCTGTTGTACAAAACTGTTCATAATAGTTTTTTCCAAATATGCTATTTCAGGATCGATGTTTGCATCTCTCAGATCGCCTGCTGTTTTCATAATTACGCTTGGTGTTTACATTTGCATGGTTTGTTGGAAGTCATTTATAAAGCATAAATCTAGGTTCACAGAGATGAGATCGGTTATTGACAACATTTTAGTGAAATACTGGTATGATTTTCTTACTAAGTAGAATAAGATTATGATTTGTTCCCTCTGTGACAGTCTCTTTTCTGATCAGTATACAGTTATCACTAATCTCTCCCATTATACCTCGTGCTCATCAAGTATTGCATGCCGAGTAGACTAGATGACGTTTATTATCGTGAGACTTTGAAAAATCTACAAATAATAGACTGGTGAATTGGTCTAGAGGGCTGTGGGCGTGCCTTAAAACAAATCTGTCTGTGCATGCGAGTTCCCATGGTAATGTACTGAAGTCATTGAGACAGCCAATCAGTGATGACTCAGAATTCTGTGCCGCCTATGTATTTTATGTTGTGATTCACCAGGCCATTCTGAGTCACTGGGATGGGGATTCTGAATAACTGGATTCCAGTTGCATAAAGCTCTGTTTATTGCATCAACCAGGTTATTTGTTTGGAATGTCATTCCTCGTATATTGTAAACGTCACAGTCTGGTTAAACATTACTCAATATGTATGATCTTGGGTGTGCAGTAAATCAATACAAGTTAATTTTGCATGTCATTTTCTTGTGTGTAGAAATCAATGTTGACATACTTCAAAATTTTAAGTCAGTTAAAGCGAAAGGGTTGTCACCTGCGCATGCGCGGGAATTCAGTCCCATTCAACGATAACGCGCGCTAAAAATGCAAAGGCTCATGGGTAGATGCTTGTTTGTAAACTATGACACGCTATGACCATCTGACGCATGCGCAGGTGACTACTCCCCTGCTTTAAACCTGTATTGCAACAACTAAAAATTATTTTTACCATAGACACTCCACTCCTGTCATTCATGTAAGCCTATATGGCTTCTAACCTTTTCACCATTAATTCTGTCTTTTCATCACAATTCAAAAAATAGTCATAGTCCGCACTTTCATTCAGAAGACTGGGACAAAATTAGCCAAATTTTTTGAGTAAAAACTGTTGGCTCTAAAATTAGGGATCATTTACAGAAATATTAGAGAATACAAGAAAAAAATTGGTGACCAATTTGGTAAGGAATGGCTAAGCTAATGAAGTAAATATAACAAACAAAAATAAATTTATGACCTGGACCTGTTGTAATGTTGAGTCATCTCACTCGATG